TTTTAACAAAACGCATTTGACTAACAGGTCGAACAACTGATGTTCTTAAAGCCTGCTGACTGCCATTGGCGATTGCCAAAAAAATTGATCACCAGATCTAACAAAATGGATCTTAATATTAATTAAATACCAAACAGAAAACAATAAACTTGTGGAAAAGATGGTATACCACAAACATGAGGTGCAAAAATTTGTACACCATATCCGGATTACGACAATAAATGTCTCTTCAGTGATGTTAGGGATCGAAACGGTATTTGGAAGGCCATATGATTTACCTCAATTGAGGATAGACTCTTGAATTTTAAAGAGTCGAAATAGGATGAACGGATCATATAAACCTGAAGGAAAATATAATACAAGCCCAAACGAAAAAATATAAAAAGTCTAAATTGAAAACAACGTTCAAACCTATGATTGCGTTGGATAAAAACCGCAATTTTTATACGTGTGCATGCAAAACAAATTTCTTGGTAGAGGGGTCTAAATATATATATATATCCTAATTGATACAGCATTCCCGAGCTAAATATCTTTTTTTTTTGTCCATATCTTTGTCTGCATTTTTAAAAATGGTACCTTTTCCTTTTTTTATACATATATCACAAAAAAAAAGAATTGTCAATCGTAAAGAATTTGATATAATTTTGTCTAGGGTGAACTAGTTCTTCCCATTTATATCCTTATAAAAGTAGAACTGCAAATCTAAAATCTAACGTGGAGGACAGCAACTTTAATATTTAATAGATGTAGTGGTTTATGCTTTCTGTATCTTTTCAAAATTCTTGATAAGGTTTTCAGTATTTTGATATGTGTATAGGGGGTTTTACGCCTGTTAGAACGGCATATCAGCTAATAGGGCGTTTCGTACTATGGGAACTAACTACGATCTTCATTATATGTCTATGTCGAAGTCATTACAATTGACATATTGGCATTGTATTGACACTTCAATAACTTGTTTGTAATAGTGAAATTATTATTGATTAAAGTGTATTGCGGCTCAACTTTTTAAAAGATATTGTTGGATATAGAAAAGAAAAAAAAAGTCTACTGCATCGTTGTAAAAACTGAACAGAACACTTTCTAATAGTTGGAAAGATAGTGTATTGTTAAGTTAAAATTTTGCTCGTAATATGTACCGTTACAAAAACAAGTTTTAGTGATATGCAATAAAAAAAAATACTTGCTATTTTGTTTTAGAAATCGGTTTACTCCGACAATATCAATAAGCAAAATATTGATATACTTTCATCTGATTTGTTTTTCTATAATCTAATATTAAAATAAGAAGATGTGGTAAGATTGCCGATGAGACAACTCTCAACAAAAAACTTAATGACACAGAAATTAACAACTATAGGTCACCGTACGGCCTTCAACAATAAGCAAAGCCAATACCGCATAGTCAGCCATAAAAGGTCCCGAAATGACAAATGTTAAAACGAGTAAACTAACGGTCTGATTTATGTACATAATAATAAACATATTTCCTATCTATTCGAAAGTATTAAGGATACATAATTTCTTTACTGATAATCGTTTATTTTCATATAGGACCGTCCAAAACCACGAGATAGCATCAAAGACAATATCCGAGCACAAAAGAAATAAACGAGGGAATATACAAGTCAATTGAGCATTCAAATCTTGTATATTTGATAATTAATGAGCCAAATCAGCTTATTTGCACGATGATTATGAAGATGTTTTACCAAATAACATATGGGACTTGTACATGGCATGTGTCAAAATAAGTTGCTAGCTTTAGTATTTTACAATTATTTCAATTACTGGTGTGTTGTAATAAATATTGGATCCACTAGAAAATAAACTATATTATGGACGATCATTTTGATGTTGATATATTCTTGAAAGTTTGAATGATATATGTTTTGGATATAGTTACGATACTGTTGTCAGGTCATTAAAGATTGCATATTTTGGCGTTGATATTGATTCACTTATAAGGTCTTTGCATCTGCACTAAACACATTTATTTAAAAACCAGTTGTTGGCATGACACGGGTTATGTTCTTCTCATATATGTTATGATGGTATGATACTAAACCCCTAACGGGAAGGATTGTGCCTGATATTCATATGATGAAGACATAATCTTTCAATCAGTTTAATTGAAGTCTGGAGCTGGCATGTCAGTTAACTGCTAGTAGTCTGTTGTTATTTATGTATTATTGTCATTTTGTTTATTTTCTTTGGTTACATCTTCTGACATCAGACTCGGACTTCTCTTGAACTGAATTTTAATGTGCGTATTGTTATGCGTTTACTTTTCTACATTGGCTAGAGGTATAGGGGGAGGGTTGAGATCTCATAAACATGTTTAACCCCGCCGCATTTTTGCGCCTGTCCCAAGTCGGGAGCCTCTAGCCTTTGTTAGTCTTGTATTATTTTTAATTTTAGTTTCTTGTGTACAATTTGGAGTTTAGTATGACGTTCATTATCACTGAACTAGTATATATATTTGTTTAGGGGCCAGCTGAAGGACGCCTCCGGGTGCGGGAATTTCTCGCTGCATTGAAGACCTGTTGGTGGCCTTCTGCTGTTGTCTGTTCTGTGGTCGGGTTGTTGTCTCTTTGACACATTCCCCATTTCCATTCTCAATTTTATTTGTCTGATTGAATCGTTCAATCAATTTTCAAATGTATTTACGTTGGTACAATTCTCTTGCAGTCAATTCAGTAGCTTTTCAGAATTCTATTTGGTCTCATTCCGGAAGCAGTGCTTTATTTTAATTTTCAGACAGTTCAATATCGACTGTACTTGTCAGTCATATTGAAATTTTGAAAACGATCTACATCTGAAATGATAAAATACTCAAACACTCAAACGGAAAATATGTTTTGCACGCTTCCCTAATTTTAATCATCCCTTACATGTTTGCAAAATATAGCAATATAGGTTTTATTGTTTTTTTTTGCAATAAATATTTCTTTTCTCTTACCATTCAACCGAAAATTAGTACTGTATTAGTAACTTGATCACACACTTCATTGTTCAACTATAAATACGCTTAATTATTAGTTTTGTAAAAAATATTTCCGTATTCCATTACTGTATACCTTACAACAAAATTATTTTCATTTACCTGTGTACATTATTTTATTTGGCGGCATGTTGTCCAAGGTTATGGTTGTCTTTCTTATATAGTTTAACATCTCACCCCTTATTTTATTGTTTTTGTATTTACATTGTGTCATAGATCAAATTTATTCGTTCAGTGTATGTTCACTTGTTTGTGTTAATATGTCTTTTGATTGAGTTGAGCCATTTTAATTGATATTTTATAGTGTGTCTTTCTATGTTGTGATGTTACACTATTGTTTCGGGTAAGAGTGAAGGTTAGTACCTATCAACACGTTTAAACTAGCTGCATTTGTTTGCACCTGTCCTAAGTCAGGAACCTGATGTTCAGTGGTTGTCGTTTGTTGATGTGTTTCTCGTTTTATTTATATATATATATAGATAAGACCGTTGGTTTTCCTGTTTGAATGGTTTTACACCAGTCATTTTTGAGGCCCTTTATAGCTTGCTGTTCGGTGTGAGCCAAGGGACCGTGTTGAAGACCGTACGTTGACCTATAAAGGTTTACTTTTAGAAATTGTGACTTGGATGGAGAGTTGTCTCATTGGCACTCATACTACATCTTCTTATATCTATTTTAGGTTAATATATAATGTATTTAGGCAGAGGAAATGATCTGTTGTTAAACATTATGTTTCTAACTCGTACTCTGTTCCGCAATGTTTATTAAATAAAATGTAAGATTTTAACCTCAATTGCAAGGGATACCCTGAGAATATTTATTTTCGCGTTTGAAATAGATACTTATCAAATTTGAAAATTATTTTAGTGCTTTTATTTATTCATAAATTAAAGTTTGGAAATTTCTAAAAGTAATATAGATTACATCAATGAAGGTTGATCTTTTATCTTAATTAGTATTTCACTGACATATTAAAAGGTTCTATGTGGGATTTGTTTCTAAAGAAAAGGGGAAATGTATGCCGCCACCGAGCGTTTCTGGAGAAATTTTTATCAGGTTTACTCGATGTTGTAGTTGGAACACATATTGTTAAAGTATAGTTCCACCTAAGAATCATGCAATATGAAGAAAAAGTGATTTACCTTATGTTACCAATGTGCTTAATAGTTGGTTATGTGACACATTTTGAGTAAAAATTGAAATATATTCAACCATAATTGTTGATGCCTACTATAAATGTCATTTATACCCTAATAAAAACTCAGATGGGCATGTTTTCCTCACTATATAAGCATTGGGAATATGATGGATGTTATAACATATATCTGCTGTGAACAGGCGATTTGTAGTAAACCATTTAGCATTACAGAAAATATGGAATCTTCCAAACAACATATCAATTTTTTTATTTGTAGCCTTGCACCTATCTCAAGTTATTTTCATTTTAAATTAACCGCTTTTTCTTACTATTCCAAGAAAGACAACTCATGTTGAACTTCAAAACAAGTAAAAAAAAAAATATTTCATATTGTATGCTGCATCTTTTGAAAAACAAAAAATAACAGTTTGTGAAATTGTTAATTTAGTTAAGATTCATTTGTTTATGGTGTTAGATTGGATAGATTTATAATTTTTACTAATCATTTTTGTCAAGTGCATCTTGTATATTGTTTACAATTCATCACTTCCGGTTCTGCTTCACTACATGTGGAGGCAAATTTACGATTTTGTTTGTGCAGCTTTCTGCAAAGTAATTCTAGTTGTGGTCTTTACTAACGTTACTCAAAAGACACAACTCTTATTAAGCTAAGTTTGTGTCACACAGAGATGTTAAATATCACTTGAATTAGCCGTTGGACTGAAATTCTGAATGTAGAAGTATTGCTGCGTACAACTACAAATTACTACAATCATGAACGAACAACCACAGGCACTTGTTTCTATCCTTGGGAAGCTCCACTATCAACGTATATTACGTTGATAGTGGGGCTTCCCAAGGATAGAAACAAGTGCCTGTGCGAACAACTGAAGAAAGCAGACCTGTTTAAAGTGTTATCCCACAGAGAATGGATTTTTGCTACTAATATTTCACTCAGAGTTTATCCATCACTCTGTCAAACTTGGTATAGAGTATTGACAGGGTGAAGGTTACTTAAACTTGTTCACATCTTGACCATAAAGGCAAAAGACAGACATTCAGAGGCCTTTCAAGTTTCCATAGACAAAGGATCCTGGAGGAATACAAATATTTGGAAGTGGTAGGTTTAACATGATTACTTTTTTTATTATTAAATGTGAAGTACAACATGTACAAGTACATTAATAATAGGATTATTATTTTAATTCTTTTTTTCTTTTTCTTTTTTTTTTTGGGGGGGGGGGGGGGGTCTCTATTTACACATGTAGTATTTGTTCAAATGTTCGCTGTGTTTCATGTATGTGACCAATAGCTTTCATGTTGGTCTGGGCCCAGCGGGATCTGTCCCTAAGGCCAATTAAAAAAAAATATGTGTGTTTCCTATTTCCTTACCTACCCTAGGCCTATAATTTTAAGCTTAGGCACACATGTGCATGATATACGGTACGGATACAGTACATGTACCTTAAAGTTTTTTGGTCAATTTTCAAAAAGCACTGTTCAAGTCAGAATTTTTCTCACATAGACTCAATATAAAAAAAAAATTGTAAAATAATAAAAAAATTCCTACCTGCATGTACATGTACCTATCCCATTTTTTTCAAAGATGTAATCATGGTACATGTAATAGGAAACACACATACATACATATTATTTTATTTAACGTAACCCATCCATCCCTAAAACTTAAATCTACCAGTCCCCATGCATATTATAATTATAATGTTGCAATTGAAATGGAATGCTACCCATGTAGTCATGACAGTTGACTTGTTTAATTAAATTATTTATTATTACTAAAATAAACCCTAAATATTTGAAATATCAAAATAGGAAGATGTGGAATGATTGCCAATGAAAAATGTTTTACTAGACATGCTAGAGATCAATTGACAGTCACATAGAAGTAAACAACTTTCTAGATTACTATCATTAACACTGTACAGCCTTCATCAATGAGTTAACCCATTTATATTGTATAGTAAGCTATAAATAGCCCAGAAATGACAAATGTAAAGCATTTCAAACAGAAAAGTAACAGTCTGATTTATATACAATTTAGTTTTTTAATTAAAAACAAATATGATATATACACAAAGTACATGTACAGAAACAACATGAACAAAGGACATCTGAATTACATGCATTACAGGCTTTTAAGGCTTTTTATGGATTTACCATTGTGTGCTTCCTTGTTATCTTTTATGTTATTTTTTTTTTTGCCATTTACTTGAATATTGGGGATTTATGGATGCAATATATCTCCATTATGCAACTCCAGATGTACAAAGACCAGTCCTTGGATTGCAAGAAACTTCAGAAATCTTCATTATCATGATTAAAGGATGGTATGCCTTAATAATTATTCTTATATTCTTAATTCTATTATTCTTAATACGAGTGAGGAACTGAAATACATACATGTACATTATATTTACTGTATTATTTTGGTTATATATCATGGTGGACATCACTGACTTCATATCACTCTTAACTGTTGCCAGACTAACTTTAAGGAACCTTGGAATTGCATTTGTATTTCACTTTTCTTCCTATTCCTAATTAAGCCTGATACAAACAAAAATATGTTTTTGAGAAAAGGTATGAATATAAAAAAGAAGATGTGGTATGATTGCCAATGAGACAACTATCCACAAGAGACCAAATGACACAGAAATTAACAACTATAGGTCAACATACGGCCTTCAACAATGAGCAAAGCCCATACCACATAGTCAGATATTACAGACTTACAATGAATGAAGATTATTCTATATTTATACAATTTTTTTGTTTTGCTTTATTCAAAAATCTTATGAATCTTGTGACGTGTTGTTTTCAATTTTTTAACTTGTTTTTAAGGTATCTAAAATGTAGCTGCTACCAGTGCCATTTAAAGTTACCAGAGCAGAAATTTAAGTTAAGGAGAAAGTGATACACAAGGTAATTTACCAATAGAAAAATATTTTTTTTAAAGGTATTCATAATTCTTATATCAGAGAATTTACTTGTCAAAACAAATAGAGAAATGTTAGTAGATTGCGCCACTTTTGTTCTCCTGTGTACACTATTTCAATGCCTTTATTTTACTGCACTGATACTTTTGATTTCTATACACACATTATGTAAAGTACATTAGATTACAACTGGGCTTGAAAAGTTCAATTTCATTGATATGAAACTTTGACCAATTTCATTTGTAACAATATATCATATATGGTGAATCAATGTGCTTGTAACTTTTAGTTAGAGTCTGATTATATGGTTATAATGTACCTTGGTACGCAGGGTTGTCAATAAATTCAAACGGTTACACGCCATTATTCCGACAGCCCATTGTTCCGATAACCCTTTACTCCGACAACCGAATAATCCGACAGCCCAATAATCCGACAACCCATTGCTCCGACAGCCCAATAATCCAACAACCCATTAGTCCGACACTTAGAAATAATTATATTCCCCGGTATCGGGGTTACAAAAATATGTCTGTCTGTACTGTAACGTATATGTTATTACGTATATAGTTCTAATACTTTTTATATAGTTACTTAATTCATAATATGTATAATTATACATAATTACAATTTGTGTATAGAGGTTCCATGTATATCATTCAATTATGTTTTTTCGCGCCTTTTTGTATATACAGAAATCGCTTATTATTTACGGAATTACGAAAACGAATATACAGAACTATGTCCGTACGGATAGACTTGTATATACAGAATTATGATGTAAAATTCTTAGCTTACGCAAAAACAGACTATACAGAATTTTAATTACGTACTATATATAAGCAGAATTCAAATTACAAAACAAAATGTACGTTATACAGGGAATTGTTTATTCAGATTCTGATCAAACAAATTTCAACAAATTAGGCGGGGTCAGAATATGATATGCTGATATTGTGTGGCTCCAATATCACCAAATCCGACCCGCCACCTTAGGGATTAGGTGGGCGGCTCATTCAAAACAACCTACGACTTTTAAAAAAAATCTAAAATGTGTGTGTCTTTTTATGTTGTAATGTTATACCACTGTTTCAGGTGAAGGTTGGCACCTGTTAAAACGTTTAAACCTGCTGCATTTTTATGCACCTGTCCTAAGTCAGGAGGCTGTTGTTCAGTGGTTGTCGTTTGTTGGTGTGGTTCATAAGTGTTTCTCGTCTTTTATATAAAGTAGACCGTTTGTTTTCCTGTTTGAATTGTTTAACACTTGTCTTTTTTGGGCCCTTTATAGCTTGCTGTTTGGTTCGAGCCAAGGCTCCGTGTTGAAGGACGTACTTTGACCTATAATTGTTTACTTTTTACACATTATGACTTGGATGGATGGTTGTCTCATTGGCAAGCATATTGCATCTCCTTATTTTTATATTACACAAGAACAAACAATAGACACTTAAAACTAGTTAATCTAAAACCAACGTATATATATTGACATCCATTGGATTTTGTTTTGTTGTGATTGTTTTTCACGAAAATTTATGTAAAAATTAAAAAGAACCCCATTTTGATACATACAGCCAAGCGTTAAGAATAATGACCCGTGATTTTTCTGACCTAAGTGGTTGTGGTGGCTCTGTTTTCGTGTTTTCAATAAAAGAATATACACTGGGTGTACGAAAAATCACCCTGTTTCTCACATTTTCTTGCCTTTCATGAAAAATATAACATTTTTGCTGCGGATCCTAGTACAATTTCTGCATAAAAAAAACTATATATATTGATGGGAGGGGGGGGGGCGGGGGGGGGGGGGGGGAGGGGGGCAAGAGTCTATTTTTTTCCAATGAAAATACAAAGCAAAACAAAATTTTAATTTCAAACTATTTCAAGAAAAGAAATTTATTTTAGAAACAGTATTTAGTTAACGGATACACAGCGTTCAAATAAAACACATTTTGGGGGGCTTTATTTATGAATCAAATATTTTTTATACAAATCAAACAATTAAGACAAACAACACCCATCCCCCCCCCCCCCCCCCCACCACCACCACCACCACCACCACCACCACCACCAAAAAAACAAGATATGGTCGTACCTTAAAGTATGTACATTTTCGGGTTAATTGAAATATACAACTCAAAAAGGCAAAATACCAAATGCTCACAATCAAAGTTAAAATTATTTCCCATTTTCAGAATGCACAACATAGATTTCTCTCTTACATATATTCAGGAGTTAAACTGAGTAACAACCCATATTGTTAAAAATACTAATTTAATTAATTTAAACAGCACAGAATGATAATGGTCACACAAACGCCGAAATGTAAAGACAAATAAAATACCCGGACCCGTAAAAAAAGGGGGACGAGAATAAGGACTCAGCAGTTGCAATAAGCATGTATATCAACTCCAAGGCACTGAGACAAATATCCCGCATGAAGAATAATCGGAATGTAAAATGACAACTACAAATATTATCGAGAACGGAGTTGGTCTTTTGGAGAAAATTTACCCATGCACTTATGACAGATGCATTGTCAGAATAATGAGCTGTCGGAATAAGGAGCTGTGGGAATAATGGGATGTCGGAATAATGGTTGTTGGACTAACGGGATGTCACCATTCAAACTATTGCATTGCAGAACTTAAAATACTAATGCATATGACAACACCACCTCAAAGAGCCCACAATTTTTTAAAACTTGGATCAGATATATAATATAGAAAAATAAATGTACTCTTTATTTTTCTATATTTATCAAATCTATTTATAACTTTCTACTTTCACTTTTAAATTATTTCCTCTGCCAGAGCGATATTCATTTTGATACAAAAATATAATGTAGGAAGATATGTACTTCAATTTAAAAAAACAAAATTTAACAGTTTCGAGTTTTTGACATCACATGCTTGTTGAATTAAACAGCCGATTTTATTTGAATTGAATTTTGTTGTACAGACTTCATCAGATTTTGTTTTCTATCATGGAGAAATAAACTACTCACTGTTCCAAGTTACTCAATGTGTACTACAAGTATAACATTGAGTAGTTTATTTCTCCATGATAGAAAACAAAATCTGATCATTCCTTAATCATCTTTTAAAATCAGTTGGCAGTCTGGCCAAAATGAATTCTTGAAAATACAATTTTCATGAACATGATAAATGTAGTAGAGATAACACTACACTTTGTATGAATTAACTTCAGTTGGACTTGATTTTATCTTTTATGACATTTGATTTCTATGATTTTCATGCTTACAATTTTTTTTTAAACATGATCATACATGTACATGTACCATTAATTGGCACTAATACATTTGTATTTCAATATTTGCAGATTTTCCAGAAGAGCTACATAATCATTAATAAGCTACATAACAGACATAAAGCTATCAGAGTCACATATAAAGTCTTGGCGGCAGCATGTTATAAGATGTTTGAACCAAGACCGTTGACATACTACCCTTTTGGATGATTTAAAGCCTGAAGAAGTTTTGATCATTATGGACTGGGCCATGAATTTTTTGCCCTAATCCTTCAAGGAAAAGGAATCAAAGTGGTTTGGTTAGAAGGGACTGGATTGGCTTGTGTGTGTCTGCATCTTCAAAGATATTGACTTGATTGATTATTTGTGAAATTTTTTTCATAGAATTATAAAGAAAATAATGCTTTTAACTGGTTTTTGTCTTGCCTGTAAAAAAAAGGAGCACTATGCGAGACTTAGGGATTACTATCTGACTGCATCAGTGTGAACTATTTGTGTAAATCTTTATATTTTAGAAGGGGGAAGACCTGAACGCTTCACACCTTGTATGTAGATACCTTATGCTAATAAGTTTCCTTCTGTCATGTGTCCCTTTTCCTTGACCTCATTTTCATGGTTCAGCAAAACCATAAAATATATATTTACCAGGTGGTTAGTGTTGAAAAACTTTAAAAACAAATCAGTTTTTTGGTCATGTGAATTTCTCACTTATTATGAATAATAAGATTTTTTATGCCCTTCTTAGGGCATTATGTTTTTTGGTCTGTACGCGTTAGTTTGTTCGTCTGTCTATTCGTTCGTCCATAGCCCACTTCAGTTTAAATTTATTGGTCAAGGTAGTTTATGATGAAGTTGAAGTCCAATCAACTTGAAACTTATTACACATTTTCCCTATGATATGATCTTTCTAATTTTAATGCCAAATAAGAGTTTTGACCTCTAATTTCACAGTCCACAGAACACAGTATTAGAAAATGGTAGTGTGAGTGGGACATCTGTGTACTTTGGATACATTCTTGTTGTATATATGGGTTCCTTGTAATTCTAACATGTCTGTCAGAGAGGGTTCACATGACCTTGACCTCATTTCATGGATCAGTGATCAAGGTTTAAGTTAGGTGATAAGGTCCTTTTCTCAGATACTATAAACAGTAGGTCAACTGTATGTGTGTATGGTATGATTGTAAAGGGACACAATAACTACTAAATTGAAAGGGGTTCATACCCCCCTCCCTTTTTTCCAAAGTTCACATGGAATTCCTCTAAAATTTTAAAGAATAAGTACATTTTGCAATAATTTAAAGGGTATTAATCCTGCATTATAAACATATCTAAAAAGCTTTCATGTATTTATTATAGAGCTGATACTGTCAGAGTTAACATCCAGAAAAGGGGTGACAAATACATGTATTTTTAAAGGGTTATTTAAAAGTATAGAGTCAATATTTAATATTTATGCTCCTAACAATGATTATGTTCAGAAAATTATAGTTTGAACAAATATTGTTAAGGTGATTTGAAATGAAAATTTGTCAATCTAGTCATTTGTCTCCATGGCAACCAAATTTACTTTTGAAACTAATTTCTTTATTTTGAATAATTTGATGATACTTGATGGAAAAAAATACAGAAATAAAATGAGAGATTAAATATTTTATCATTATAAAGCATACATTTATTAAAAATGTGTATTTCTCAAAATCGTTGTGTTCTGTTTCCATGGAAACTGGTAGTTTGATTTGAGGATAATTATAAATAAATAACTGTTTTCTTTACTTTTTTTATAATGTTTATGTATAATAGAAGTTAAAAAGACATAATCATATGAATTGTGCTATGAATACATGAAAAAAATTAGCCTACTGTAAAAAAAAATATGAGCAAAAAAAAAATGAGACAAAAAAAACTTTTTTTTCCCAAAAATCTAAAGGAGGCTACAAATGTTTATTTTTAATATGTTATAGACAAAGGTTCAATGAACAAATGCTAACAAACAGTTTATTCATAGGACTCTGTTCATGGAAGAAAATAGAATATGAAAAACGTTATTTTCACACCTTTTATGAAAATGAAAAACTGCAACGATTGGTTGCCATGGAAACAAGAGTTGCCATAGTTGCAACTTCTGTTTATCAACTTTAATTTTTAGAACAAATGTGAAACTATGATAATATGTAGATGTTTTATCGAAATTAATTAGCTGTTTATAAAAAAATCTGTGATGAAAAACGGTAATTTTTGAGGTTTTAGGACTAAAATTAAAGAGCTGTTATGGTGCCATTGTAACCATAGCAACCAAATGTACAACACATGTTTTACTGTTATTTTTTTGAGTTTTCTATCAAGATAGAACAAATGAAGCCCAAAAAAGTCAATTTAACAACCATCACTGTATCACCCTCTGCATGATTCTTAGGTGGAGCTATACTTAAAACACCAAAGTGCAATGACAATAATAATGGTTGTACTATAGGTAAACCACTAAAGAGTATTTAGTATCCGAACTGTTGCATTAAACTTTTTCTGTATGTTGTTATTTGTCAACATGTTCCTAAATACATTAAAGATTTGATTGGATAATTTAATCAATCACAGTTCTGAAAATATTTATGTCAATGTTGAGCATAGTATAACTTTAAAAATAACATGAAACAACTGCAACATTTCAAATCTCCCGTCTTTAAACCAGGAACAGTATAGAGTCAAGATGTTCGACTGATCATCCGTCTGTTGTGTGTACCACTATTCTTTCTACAGTAACTAATGACCTTCATAAATATTGTGACGAGGTTAACTCAACCAGCGATGTGAATCAGATATAGATTCTTATAAATTCGACTGATCTACTATAAAATTGGGATTTTTTACGCTTTTAACGAATACTCTTAAAAGCGTTATTGAAAGATCAAATAAATCGGCTCTCTAACCAGTGCTTTTTTTGCGAGTTTCTGGTTAAGGTCATCATGAATCATACTATGTGCTCTGATTCTCCTCGCCGGGTATAAAGGTGAACAGCACATTGTTTCATGTTAAAATATGTAACCGCACCTTTACCGTTCATACATTCAATAATTCATATTTTTTAGATTATCTTTGTATTGGTATATTAAAAAATTGTTAGTGTGTATAATACTAAAATTGATGTTGTGTTTAGCATTGACTATGCGAAGTAGTATCCTATTCAGCTAGTAAACTATACTTTATTTCTTTATTTCGCCTTTTAAACTTTTTTTTATTCGAGCGTCACATGAGTCTTTTGTAGACGAAACGCGTGTCTGGCGCAAATACAAAATTTCAATCCTGGTATCTATGATGACTTTATTTACATCTTGAATACTATTTTTACTAAGTCAATGTTAAACATTATTCATTTCTCAAACAATGTGTGAGCAAAATTACAATTACCTATCACACAATTGATCTTCATCTTTTTCCCGTCCAAACACATGCGTTATAGTAGAAAGTCATCATTTTATATGAATTTTGTTTTTCATATGTTCATCATGTTCATGTTTGATGATGTAGAAACTCAGGTAGTCGTTTGCTAGTTACAACTTTGTATAATCATGCCAGCTCCTTGCTGACGTAATTCCAAGTGTAGAGTTGAATTATTTTTTATATTGTAACTAGATAAAGTTCGGTCTCTTTTAATTTCCTTTCCTGCAAAAATGAAACGCTGCTAATCCTCAGGAATTCCCGTTTTACCCACAACTAGTGATTTTAAAATTTCAGTAGTATAAGAAGAGGAAACTTCAAGTGAAAATATTCTTCCTGTTAGCTCTGGGACAAACATCCGCATCTGAAATGGTATTAAGTGTTCTTCAATCCAGAAATATCTTTACAATAGTATTACTCGACTTGTTTATTTTTGTATACTTATTTCCTTATTCTAACCCCATTTTTTTATCATAATATTGTACTGTAGATGCCTTACTCACTTCCTTCTAAACTCTTTTATTCTTGAGCTATATCACTTTACTATATTCAAACCCGCTATGAGTGAGATACATTAATGATTGTGTATTTCTATTAAAGAGGTTAGCTCTCGTATATATCTTACATGTACATTTAAAAAGTTGAAAAAATATTCGTTCCGCAATGATTAACTGTTACAACGTTAGATTCAAAACCTCTAACATAATTAAAATACGATACAATAAATAGCGCGAGTAACTCTTTGTTTGTTGTCTAAATGGATAACTTTACTGAAATTAAAGACAAGTGGATTTAATGAATTTGTTTACCTTTTGGTTGATATTTTGACGACAAAAGGCATCTTTGTATAGCAGGAACACTTTTAATCGACAACCAGTCATGTATAATAATGATTTGAAGTGATAGGCACTACGAGTATAGTATGTTGAAGTCTGATTCAAAAATGTATTTTTTTTTACATAAATTTTTCTCAGAACTATTGAGTAAAATAGTACTGCCATACATTCTATACAATCAAACATTTATAAAGGTTAAAAAAATATTCGTTCCACAATGCTTAACTATTACAACATGTACAACGTTAGATTCAGAGACTCTAACATAATTTAAAGACGATACAATGAATGCGTGATTATCTGTTTGTTCGTTGTCTAAATGGATAACTTTACTGTAATTAAAGACAAGTGAATTTAAAGAATTTTTACCTTTTGCTTGATATTTTGATAAGGACAAAAGGCATCTTTGTATAGCCGGAACACTTTTGATTGACAACCAGTCAGGTATAATAATGTTTTGAAGTGATAGGCATAACGATTAGGTATGTTAAAAGTTTGATTTAAGAAAATTGGTTTTTTTTACATAAATTGTTTTCAGAAATATTGAATAAAGTAGTACTGCCATACATTCTATACAATCAAACATTTCCTAAGTAACGAATAATCTTTCAATAAAAAAAACATTATAATTATTTCGTTTTTGTATACATTTTTGTTGTGTTATTAAAGTCCTGGTCGATGTTGGTGGTCGTCAAAATCGTTAACACATATGGCAATGATAATATCTATTTAGCATTGCAGCGGAAATTTACCCAAGGGAACTTACTTTTAATAAATCTAATAGAATAAAAAAACATTTTTTCTAGATTTGTGTATTTCAGTTTAACAAGGGAAACTCTTTACGAAAAAGAGAAATTACTAGATTCCTATTGCTAAAACGTCCTTCTTTATGTGTATATATTTCTAAACCCGTCCATTTTACCTGTGTCTTACTTGACTTTTTTTCAATGAATGTTATCAATGTATTACTGGTACATTTTAAGGTATGAAATTATGTTAACACAAGTAACCAAAATAAAACTTCACTTGATTCTTTCATAAATACATCAAAGGAGTGGAAATTCCAAGGGGAGAATCAAGAATCCAAAATAACAAACTAACTGTAGATAAAAAAATATCGACAAGAGGACAAACAATACAATTAAAGCTTTACAAACAGACGCGATATCGCATCAAAATGGTCACTCTGGTGTTGCCTGAAGATTTCGTAATATTAGATCATTTCATGCCCGCTATTTACTTATTTATTCTTTATATAAGTTTATTACTAAACTGTTTGTCATAAGACATTTCATGCTTTTCTTAATCGATAATAACATCGAAATTGTTTTTATATTTAGGAATCGCACAAAGACGTGTATTTTCGTGCTGTTTATGCAAACAAACACAGATATGAACCAGGACGATATTTTCCTGAATGAAAAATTATTTTCTAAATTCTATAACAGACATTTAAAAAAAAACTTCATTCCAGTAGCAAAGAAAGAATAAAATGAAAATTTTCATCGACATAAAATGCAAAACTTTACCCTTTCCGTTTGATGGGTTTTAGACCTTTACTTATCGAAAAGACACAATGGAAGTTCAGGGGAATAGAGCATTTGCAACAAAGCTAATGCAAATGCCATATTGGACTCCTATAAAATCAAATTCATAGAATATTCCCCCAAAAGAAATTGAAGACAATTTGTCTTTTGGTCACGTGGTTTCTCTCCAAAAGTCATGTGACTTGCAGGAAAACTAAAATATTACGAAATTTTATAGGGGAAACGTCGTTTAGAGATATGTTGTTGCGGTAATAGGGAACAGTTTTGGTGCAATGGCAAATTTCCAAGTCTGTTCGACATAGGCAACTTGCTATATATGGTATAATAGAGGAAATGAGCGCTATATGCAATAAGCTATACAATTATTTGTAGTATTAACTGTCAGGACATAAACCTTCTTGTGCATGTAGCTTTCAGAATAAACAAGTTCATCCTGAAATACGAAATACATGTGTATCAGTTTGCATAACACAAATTTGCAGACTTCAGATTTTATGAAAATACACTCAAACAACAAATATACATTTTTTAAAAGAAAAAAATATGACAACTTTCCTTTTGCCAAACTTTCAAATATAATAAATGGATTATAGGTATCTTTTCAAACTAAAATTTCACACTACATGTAAATTAAACTAGAAGACAACTTGGTTCACAAAAAATAGTCGTCAACCTTTAACCAAGCATACAAGTGACAACAATATGAAAAAAAAAATTATAGTTCGATACACGAAATCTTAAAGAAAACATTTCAACATGACTTGCTTAAACTTGATCAATGTGTTGTTTGTACCTTGTGTTTAGATGAAATGTATGTACTATATTATTTATTTGGTTTGTTTTGCATCATCATTAACTGACAATGCCGTGGCAAAAACTGAAAGTCGACGAAATGACAAACAACAGTAAACAAAACACAACAAGCAGACTAAAGACTGAGCAAAACGAACCCAACCAA